TCCCTTCATCTGGGAGCTCACCTGCTTCACACACCACTCAACCTTCAACCTGACCTGTTTTCCATTATCAGTCACTAGCTGGAACTCGGAGATCGGGACTTTCCCCCCAAAACAAGCTCTCTCTGCTCTCTTCCTGCAGCAGAGAGGGGCAGGATGTTCTGAGAGGAGCCAGCCCTGGGAGCACACCCATCAGTCTCTGAAGAAGGGTCTGGGGAGAGATGGTAACACAGATCTAGAGGACCATAGCTTTGGAAGAAAGCAAATATATTCTCTTTCTGAAGAGGAGCACAGTCATCTGCTGGAGAACCCGGTTACATTGACTTACCAGGCTGATTCCCTGTACTTTTACTGCTTGCCCACTCAAGCCTAGCTGGATCAAAAGCAAGGCCTCCTCAGAGACAGGAATACTGGGAAATAATGATTTTGTTCAAATCTAAGCCTGCACATGGGATCTTAAAAAACTTTCTCAAAAAGATAAAACGTGTCACTCACCCTTAAATATCACCCCCTCCCCATGCCTACAGTATTATATTAACTCATCCTATCTTATTACTAATGCTGTTGTCAGCAGATACCCCTGAAACCCACAGGCTCCTTCCCTCCCTCTCTCCTGTCCACAGCAATAGCAGATTGCCATCCTCTATCAGCTAATTCATCAGCCCTTGTGACAGATGTCTGTGTGGTGGATCTAAAGGTTCCAGCCCAGCAGATGACTCAGAGTTTAGCATGCTGGGGCTTTCATTTTGCATTGAATCAGTGAAATCTTTCACCCAGAATAGTATTAAAAGTATGCAAGGGCTGCAACATCAAGCACTCCAAAGTGAGGAATGAATACAGAAAAGTCACTTTTGCAGAAATAATTTAAATTTCAGTATGCATGACAAAGGAGATGCTAATTAAGGAGCACATCCCAGGTAAGTGGTTTCTTTTGTTTTGTTTTGGACAAGTGTCCAGCTGACTCAGGGCACAAGGTGAACAGCATCTAGCAAAGGAATCATTTGCTTGTAGGACTCCAGCTTCAATTCAACAGGATCTGAAAACAGTCAGAACAGAAGGAACATGGAAGAAAAAGCACCAAGTCCAGTGTTGCAGTGAGAGTGCCTGGGAGCCCTGAGTCCCATGTCTGCATTTTCATTTGGGAGGAGCAAATTACTTGAAACAGATTCATCCCAAGTGGTCACTCACCACCTATTCCTTGTCTCCTAGCTCCTAGGAGAACCAAATGACAGAAATAGTCCATCCCAATCTTCCTTGCAGAAGCAAGAAGTAGAAACAAGACATTGAAGATATCAATCTTTACTGAATGACATGAAACAAATCTGATTCCAGGCATCTTAAACCATCCATCACAAATGAGTAGGTGTGATCATGACTGTTTCTTATCCACACAAGGATGAAACATTTGTCTCTCACAGGAGTCCCCTCCCCAGAAATAATCCACATTTCTGCAGTGCTCCCAGGGTATAGCAACGAGCAGAACAAAAGAGCCTACGAGGAGATTAACAGTTCTATCTTCAGAGCAGGACCTGCATAGTTCACAATAAACACAGAACAAGGCTGCACAATGAGCATTGAAGGTAAAACAAAACACTGAGTAGCTGCTTATTATGTGGGAGTTTTGGAGAACCTGGTGAGGCAGAGGTCCAGAGGGGAGAATAACACTCACCCTGTGAGCAAAGGCCATATCACAATGCTCCGATTGAGGGGGCTGAGCTGACACTGAGCACACGACCTGAGTGCACTGACTAAATCTGTTTTTAAAGGCTGCTGGAATGGCTCATATGAACATGCTTTAACAAACTGCAAACAAGAGTCAGCTGAGTTGATTTGAACAACACATTCATATTCTGAGATAATTCTGCTACCTGCTCCACCACAGACAGGGAAACCATCAACAAATATAATATCACCTGGTGGAGTGGTAGGAAGACTTTGCTAACTCCTGTATGGGCAGGCAAAGGTACTTGGGAGCAGAAATATCCCCAGCCAGCAGCACATGATCTAGAGGACACTATCACTTCAGTGTCATCTGCAAGACTGGTACCAATAGAAACAGCTGAGAATATCCCCTCACTGCATTAGGTCAACATAATGACACTGATCATCAGAGTTCCTGTGTTAAAATCAGTGGCATGGAGATCAAAAGCTTCCTATTGTCCTCTCATTTCTTGACCCATCCATTCCTTCCTAAGGGTGATATGGTCCTTACAGAATCTGAAACACTTTAAAAATAAAATAAAATTAGAACACTTTGTAAAACCCAGAAGAACAGTGAACCACAAGTGCTTTGGATTATTTTTATACAGTAACTAAAGCAAACATTCAGCCTTGGAACACTCAGTGCTGGAATCACTGTAGCTGTGGCATTGTGCTTGTGCCTCATACCCACTTCACTTATTTCTGTGTCACTCATCCTCCCTGCTCCAGAATGAACTTTTTTTCAAAGGAAAGAGCTTATCTCCTATACTGCAGAGCAGAAGAAAAATCCTCCTATGCAGCAATATTTAAAGCACGGTTTTATGGTCTTATGGCAGCTAATTTTCCTTAAGTGATTTAAGGGAATGAATACATCTAAAAGTCCTGCACTGAGCTGTTCTGCAATGGCAACATGAAGCCAAACTTCCTCTTGCTTTAAACAATCCAGTCTTTTGTGGACAGCCCTTCACAGCAGACCTTGTCTGCATGGGAGGGATGAAGGGTGTTTTTTTTATTACATAATTTCTCAGGGAATTAGGTTTTGTATTTGATTTCATTTCATATTCCCCAGTGTGAGAAGACTTCAGGTGAGGAGAGGGTGGCAGGACAGACATGCTCAAATGCCAAATGCCTGATGTGACACAGTTTGACACCAGCCCTCCTGCAGCAGGTCACCTGTGCATGCAGCCAGCCATCTATCGTGTATTAGTCATCTGAAAGTAACACTCTACCCCTGAAAAGCACCTAAAATTTTTAGCTGCCTGAAGGGATTCAAAGCAGGATTTATTCTGGCACTCTGTCACAACTTAATAAAAGCAGTCACTGCTAAAGCAGGATGGTTCATGGACAGTCCCTTGCCTGCCCTGAGGAAGCTGGCATGTCTCCCCCTTTTGTCCCAGCACTTTGGATATGGTCTTTTCATACCAATATTACTGGGATCAGGGGGACTAAGAATCCGGTATTGCCTGAAAATAACAGTAATCCTATATACTGCATTGCATTGCTGAGCATCCCTGAAACTGCCAGAATGGATGGTGTTGACAAGGGGATGATAAAACCAGACAGGAAGGGTTTTATGGTGGGTAGCTAATTTACTAAGAAATGGAATTCTGAAGAGCAACCTGAACTTTGCTGGTACTTTAATTAAAAAAATATATTTTTAAAAGTATTTTAAAAAATAAATAAACTTGAAAATGAAATGTTACACTTGTGTTTATAAGGCTCCTTTTTTTTCCCTTAGAAAGAAATGAACTGGAACTGGTTCATCTCAGGTTGATCACTGGGGAGAATAGGAGATAGAAAGATAGAAGAAAAAAAATATTTTCATTTCAGATCAGTTCTCACCAAACAGTTCTTTTGATTTTTCGTTTTAGCCACCAAAGTAAATTAATTCATTCTTCACACACAGGACAGCTGGAAGCTACCAGAATTTTCAAAGCTTCCTTAGAATGGGATGCAGCTGAAAAGAACTTCTCCTGACCTCCTAGAACAGCTTTACTTTACTGACAGTGACTTTTAATAGTGCCAGGGTTTGTTCCTTATTGGCTATCAGCACTTCCCTACACCCAGCTTTCTGTAATGTTTAAGGACCTCTTCATTCTTGGGAAAAACTCTTCTTAAAGCAGTCTGCATGCTCACTCCGTTGTCTAGAAGGAAAATTGTGTTGCTTTTCGGGGTAGAAAGCAGAGGAGCAACCAGGCTGGCTCCAAAGTTCCTTTGTATGCTTTTCCATCATTATCATCATCATTTTAATAGAGCTTAGGAGCCTTGGTCAGAGGCACAATGCACAGTGCAAGGTGCTGCAGAAACTGAATAGAAAGACAAATTCCGTGCCAAACAATTAGCAGTCTAAGAAAATATTTTTCATGAAATTGAATTTCAGTCCCTATGTAAGGATCTTATCTATTAACCTATCTTCCTTGTACCTAAAGCCTCCTCTGTACAGGTATTACTGGAAGATAGAAAGTCCATTTAAGACGTATTGAGAAAACCAGGAGTTAAATTAAATGAGGTCTTATCCTATACATGATGTAGCCAGGGGTAAGAATCCTCTTTCTTTATTAGCAAAGCAAGCCAGGTCCTTATTCATAGAAACAAAAAAAGGAAAAATTAACAAAACTTCAGGGACTTAAAGATTCAAATTCCCTCTCCATTGTGAGAAGCAACAAGAAAGAACAAATAGCAGGAATCCCATAATGAAAAAAAATAATAATCTATAAAGTCTCTTCTTATTTTTTGGTAGTGATTTTTTCCTACCCATCTCCTTTTTTTTTTTTTCTAGCAGTTTTACTTAGGTGCCACGTTCAATAATCCTTCTGTGCTTTGATGTCAAACATTCAATAGCTGTCTGCCTCCCTCCCACTCCTCTTCTCCATATTCTGCACAATCCATCTCCTCTGATTAGCCAAGATTTCACCTTCAAGAACACCTCTGCTTCTCTGAGTGAGCATGAGTGTGTGTGTGTGTGTTTTTATAGAATATTTGAAAATATTCTCCCCCTCCTGCACTGCACACCACACAGCCACCACTGCCAGAGCCCTGGATTAAGCATCACTGCCATTCCCTAATTCAATTTGGGGTGCCTGCTGTTTTGAATCCAGCTCAGAGCAATGAGAGCAGCTTGACTGAATTTAGGCCCTGCTTTCAGAATTATTCCATAGTTAATCCGAGCTGAACTTCATTTCACTCGCTTTCTCCACTCCTGATGCTTCCTGTGGCAGAAGGCACCGCTGTTCCCTGATGTCCTGCAGGGTGGGGTCGGTCCCGGAGCTCAAGGGGGGCTCAGCAGCTCCTGTCCCACTCACCGGGTTGTTGTACATGTCGATGATGAGCTCCTTCACTCCGTGCAGGGTGGGGTGAGCCCACGGAGAGGGATTTGCCCAGTGCCGGTTCAGATCGAACCCCATCAGGGAGCACCTGCACACGGACACACACACAGAACAGACACAAAGCACTTAGAGATGGGCTGCAGCCTCAGGGTGATAAATATCTATATATTAGGGTGATATATATATATGCAGCTGAAGTAGTTAAATTATATTCTCATGGGGGAAACAAAGCAAACGCTCCCCTGGGGAGAGGCTGCAGCAATGGCACTTTTCAGAAATAACCAGCAGAATACCCACTGAAACAGCTCTGGTCATTCAGCCTTCTCCCCCTCCACAGTCTGTGCTCACTGAATCCTTTGCTTGTTCCCAGCTTGGCAGGCTGGCCCTGGAGCAGCCTTGGAGGTTCAGGTCCAGGTTCAGGTTCAGCCTTGCCTGACCTTGGAGGTTCAGGGTGAGGTTCGGGTTGAGATTCAGCCTTACATAACCTTGGAGGTTCAGGTTCAGCCTTGCCTGACCTTGGAGGTTCAGGGTGAGGTTCAGCCTTGCCTGACCTTGGAGGTTCCCTTCTCTTTGCTCTGGCTGAGGCTCTGCAGCTCTGAGGCTGATTTACACACTGCACCACCAAGCTGGACCTTCAGCTTGTCCTCAGTCAGGCTTTGATCAGCAGGGCTGTTCAGAGCATTGCAATCAATGGCCATTAAGTTTGTGCTTAAGGGATTTAAACATGAATGTCATTGTGCCACTAGCCCAAGCCTCGGTCTGCAATTGCTTACTCAAAAGTAAGCCAACCAAATCACCAAGTTAAAATGCTTATTGGCCATCAAATCCTATAGGCATTAAAGCATGGATTCCACCTTGGCCTCTCCTTCCTGCCCTGACTCAGATGCCTCCCAGGACACTGTCCTGAATTGGATTCTGTTGCTCACAGCCCCACAGAGTAGTATCCAAATTCTTTGTGAGGCTCCACTGAAACTCAGGAGGCTGTCAATAGAGTGAATACTAAAACTGAAAATTTGAAATTTGAAAAAGAAATTAAATAGCTGGAAGTGTCACAAGTAGGAGAAAGGGGAAGTCAGGTCACTTGCCTACTGCAGAGATCACCTAAAAAATCTTTGGCTACTGATACATGCAGGAACGGAACTCTGTCATCTCAAGCTAAGCTTGGGATGAGTTGGGTAAATTCTTGCTCAGGAGTTCTGTGGAAGACCACACAAATAATAGAAGCCCAGGTAGAGATGCAACTTCTTCTATAGTAAAACAAACAAACAAAAAAATCAACCTCGCTACTAAGCCGTAAATCTTCTTGAGAAAAGAAGAGCTTTCATTGATCCCATGTCTATTACAAGAATGTCTGTTCAGCCTTAATCTTTTAAACACACCTATGCAAACAATAGAGATTCACTTCAGCAGTGCTATCCTTTGACAAAAACATTCTGAGGCTCTGAAGACCCAAAACATATATTTAATTGGCAAAGGGAAAAGAAAATAAAACCAAGAGAGGTGAAATACTTTAAAAAGTGAAGAGATGAACCCAGAGGATGAAATTAATTTCCAAACCTGATGAATAAATATTTTCTTATGAACCAAAGGATGCAAAGTGAATGGGACATTGTTTTGCACTAATTCTTGTGGGTATCTAAGCAAGCAGGACCTGCTTTTCTCCTTGGGCTTGCACAACCCAACCATCAGCTCCCTGGGAGCTCAAACACCCAACTGCAGCTCCATCACTGCTGACCCGGGTGGCTTGCTGGGGCTTGCTGGGGTGCAGAAGCCACCTCCTTGTCATGGTGGCCATTTCTCTGCTTGTACAGAAACCAGATGGATTTTTCCTGGACAATTTAAACAACTGCAATTCCACAAACATCTCTGAAAGTTGCTGCCGTCCCACTCTACAGCATATTGTGTCAGATTTCCCTCTCTCTCTTCTTTTTGTCTGCATGCAAACTCTCTGCACACAGTTCTACTAAATCCTATCTTCTTTTGAACTCATGGACATTAATAAAAAAAATAAGTACTTCCAGAGATGTAGGTGGAATTACACCAGGATAAAACTGGCAGAAGTGCAGAATGAGAGGAATGAGTTTTTAATTTAATAAAAGCAGAAACTGTCATGAGTTTTACTGTATTTTGGCACATTTCCCAAGAAAACAACATTCTTACTGTACAAAAACTTTCTTAAGTGCTCAGAATCTGAACCTATATTTATATAGTTAATGTGTCACATTTGCATTTTCTTTTAATAGTATTTAACACTAGAGAAAATGAGCAAACTGTCAATATTAAATTTGGGGACTTTTTAGATAACTTTATCTAAGTCATCCCCACAGAGAAAAGAGGTAAGCAATACCTAGTTTTTGTAAGATCCTAAATAAGGTATTGCAATTTGCAGTATTTGGATGTGTCAGGAATGTCTGGTAAGTGATGAATCTCGAAGTTCATTTAAAGCAACAAGAACAGCTGAAAATAGTTGTCTTTACTTGAAAAGACTTTACAAACAGAAGGAAGCAATGCTTAGCAAACAAGTTATTCACTTGGGAAGCTCCTCTGAGCTCTGTTTAATAGGAATCCAAATTAATTTCCAAATATCATTTAGCTAGTCTTTGATGTGGTATATCACATATTTATCAATGTAACAACAATTAATTAACTTTCTGATGTAGGCATTACTATTTCTTTCCAGTCTGGAAACAGTGTAATATTTTCTCCCCGCTTCCCGTTTTCAAGTCTTTTTTCTTTCCTTTTTGCCTAAAGTCAAATTTGTATCTACCACATTCTCTCTTTATTCATCTGCTGCAAACTTTTGGCCTCTCTGAGGAAACATCAAGCTGTGTTCCTTGGTACTTCAGATTTGATTATTGACTCTATTACATGTAGAACTGTCTCCCAAAGCTCACGTATATCAGGACACGACCAAAACATACAGCAAGGGTCTCCCATGTGCCTATTACAGATCCTGCATTAATTTTATTATCTTGCTCCCAGCTGATGTGATCTCCCTCATGGCTAATGCCTCCAATGCAGGAGCTTGAACAGGATAACTTAAAAATTGCATCTTGCACTGCTTTTCAATTCATCCTCCTAGTCTTAAACCAGATAATTTCTGGAACACTTTGCTGCTCGTTCCACTGTTTAGCTGGTTGCCTGCTGCTTCAAACACTGGACAGGCACAGTAGAAATACAGATATGCTCTGAGAACAGCATCTCTATGGTGGGAAACAAGTGTGTTATAAAATAATACATATTCTTTCAATATTTGAGACCAGCTCATTTACTTAGAGTGCAAGTGTTGTCATTTGCTTTAATGCAGCTCCTCACATGGCTCTAAGTGTTCCCCTGATTTAGAAAGTGCCTCAAAATCTGCCCTATACACATTAGATTTATTTTGTGCTGTAAATAAACTAATGTGGTCAGTATAAAATTGACAAAGGGGGAAAAAAACCCCTAAATTATATCAAAGGACTATTTAAGGATGATCTTAGAAGGGGGACACAAAAGACAAAAAAAATCAGGAAACATTACAGACTCCAAGAGGTACAAGGGAAGACAAAAACAGCTTCAGAATTAGTGAGGGTTGGAGCAAGGGCACTGGAGGATATCCCATTTCATGAGCCTTAATGACCATGGCCATAAATGCCCTTATGAACATGGCAGGTCACAGTGCCACAGAGCCTGATGAGAATGATGTGCTGGCACAGACTCCCCCAGGTTAGGAAAAAGCATTCTCAGAATAGATGAGCTATAAGCAAAGTAGCAACCTGCAGCTATTACCTCATCTTGGTCTTCATTCCCACTGTAAAAAACCTGGGTTTTAGTCACATAGTCACTGCAGCCACAAAAAAATGGCATGTATGTAATTTAAAGCATTTAAGCTGATAATCATTGTTTGAATTTTGGATTATGCTTGCTATAGTTTGCTAGATATACAGACCACATGCTGTGTTTCTGCTTCGTGACTGAATGTTCATTTAAATCAGGTTCTGTGAATATTCTTGTTGAATTAGAATTTGTATTTCACCAATGTTTTCCAGCCTTTTTCTAAAATTTCTGTTTTCTGTAAGTAGATAAATTTATTACAGTGTTTATAAATTTACATAAACACAGTGCAAATTCAGTCAAAGCAAATGAGTTTCAAAATTGCACTGGAAACTGAAACATTTTGCAGTATTCATCCCTCCCTACTTGGGAGGCAGCCAGATCTGAAGAGGTTACCAGCTCAACTCAGTAAAACCAAAGATGTTCAGACCAGCACCAGGCTTGCTGGGCAGTTCTCTGGACAGAACTCCTTTTCCTGTGGAGCTGAACTCATCACTGCTTTTAAGGGTTTCTTATGCAGCTGCTTTAGTGACAACATCCTGAGGAGGGATTTAGTACCAAGGTCCATGCTGGGTTTATTTTTGAGGGCTTCTTCCTATTCTTGCAGGCTGTGCCTCTTCTTCCTGGAATCTCCAAATTATAGAAACCTCCAGGATCTCTGCCTTCCTTTACCTTCAGCTCTCCCTGCCCTGCTCGTTCTTCCTACCAAGAGTCTAAGTCTCTTCCTAACAGACCCCTTTCCACAAGGTGAGATATGGAGAATAATGGGGGAAAGGAGGTAAAGAAATCCTTTTTCACGCCATGTGATTTATTACAAAGAGAACTCTGCACCCTCCCCTTCAGCTTTGTGAGGCTGCATTGGCTCATTGGATCAGCCCCAGGTGAATCTCCAGATAATCTCCACACACAAAGCCAGGGAGTTCCAACCCACAAATGGCTCTACCACCAGGGTTAAGGGTTGAAATTGGAAAGGCAGTGGGGAAGGGGGAGCACTCACTGTTTTTTCCCCCCTCTCAGGCTGGCTGCAGTGAGAGCAGAGCCAGGGCAGCTGGTCTGTCCTGCTGCACCTCTCCAAGGCAGCGGCACAAAGCTGGAGCAGGCGTGTGGCAGCAGAGCAAAGACAAGGGCAACACACAGACTTGCTACTTTTCACAAATATCATTTCAAAACTGATATATTCACGGCGTTTTACAAATCAGCTCCACACCTGCCAGCCAAGTCAGGTCTTCATTAGAGCACATTTCACCGTCTGGGTGCTTGGGGTTTGAGATTTAT